ATTTTGGTGCAAATGGATTTCCAGTTTTCCCAGCACCATTTGTTGAAGATGCTATCCTTCCTCCATTGCATGCTTTTAGCCCCTTTATCAAATATAAGATAGTTGTAGTTTTGTGGATTGGTTACTGTGTCCTCTATTCTGTACCAAGACACATTCATAATATACAAAAGAGCATGTATATAAAACACCATTTGCATACAATATGATTGCTTACAACTGTGCTTACAATATTGTAAGAATGATTAAAGAACTCAGAACTTTGCAAAACCTTAGAATTTACATGTTCCTCATAAAATAGGGTTTTTTTCATTTCTTATCCACGTAAGGGAGAGTGTGGATGTACTGGAGTCTCGAGAGCAGAATGGGACTGACAGCTGGGAAACACCCAGACTACTGCAGCTGTGTTCACCAGGAACCAGTTGGGATAATAAATGCAAAACTGAAAGATGCAGGAAAGTGTATAAAAAAAAAGACAAAGGTGCTAACAGGAAGGAGGATGGTTTGGGGGACTCAGGACTCAGGGGAGAACCTGGGGAGCTGGACTTATGAACATGCTGCATTCTCTGCTGGTGCCTGTGCAGGATGAGCACCATGGAGCTGCTGGCCCAGAGCATGAGCCCCCCCCACACACACCCCACCCACACACACGACATCAGGGAATGTTAGCAATGCTGTCTGCAGTGAGTCTGTGGTTGTGTCATGACGAACACTAGAACACTCTCCAAAATCTTTTAGGATGGTGAAGTTTTTGGTGCTCTTTTTTCCAGTCATGTACATAAGAAAATTAATATTTGCAAGGAGTTACAAAATTCTGCTCAGGTATATGGAGAAGCCAATGTACTTGAGAGCCTTCACTTTAAGCACTGACCACCGCAGGCTGGTCTCTGGGCCTATTTGAAATTCAGATGGCCCAAAACATTCCAATTAAGAGGACACACATTAATAGACAGGAGATCCATAAGCAGATCTTTAATATTACTGCACACCAGGTGGACCTCCCACACCAACCCAGTACATTGTATCCTAGGGAGGTAGGAAACGCATCTCTTAAAATCCACAAGGAACATCTATCTACAGGAGGGTCCATAATCAGGTCACACATCTTCAAATTCAGTTTCAGAAACTTGAAAGGACCCCAATTTTCTTCCTTTGCACAATGAAATAAAGACAGAAGCCAACTGCAGAAGAAAAATCAACACCCCCAAATATGGAGAAATGAAACACCTCATTCTTAACCAACCAATGGTCACAACGGGAAAAGGATTCAGAAAACATCTGAAACAAAAGCAAAACAAAAATAAACACACCAAAACTCAGGAAATGTAGTGAAGAAAAAAAAAAGAACATAGGAGAATGTTCGTGTAATTAGACTTTACAACAAGGTCAAAGAAACCCAGGAAGGCTGACTACGCATCTCAAGAGGAAATGAGCCAACTAAAGCAAAGGGAAGGAAACACTGAGCACTCTAGCAGAGGGAGCTGGTAGAGAGGACAGGAACCCCACCAAGCAGCAGGTTTACTTTTTTAAAAGGTTAACAAAAATGACAAAAGGACTCCCAGGACCATGCCCAGTGGTGCCTCCTCATGGGTTCCCTGCCACCAGGTCACAGGGGATAGAATCTAAGTGTAGAGGAGAGGGACTGAGGGCGGCCCAGGGGAGTGCAGAGTCATGTCAGGCCAGCAGCTCCCAGGCCCAGCACTGCACAGGGGACTCAGGACCACCTGASAGCATCACTGTACCTCAGTGACAGCCATTCCTGACYCCTTTYCTTTCCTCCTCCTCTTCAGGGCTGTTTCCTCAGGTAACACGAGTCTTCACAAGTCAATCCTGGAAGGAGGAAACGGACTGTTTAAGGCTCAGAATCATCACACMYTTCCTGTGCCACAGCCACACACACAGGGAGGACCTCAGCATGTGGGAAGATGGTCCCCAGCTGTCCACTGCACCAGGGACACCCAGGCATAGTACAGTCCTGCAGAAAGGTGCACAGGAGACTTCTGTGACTCCATTCTTTCGACCTCATTTCCCTGCTGGTGAAGCACACACAGGCTGCAGCAGTGGGGGACTGGGCAGCACTGGGCTCCCATTCAGGACACAGTCTGGCCCTGACCGATCTGAAGGTCAGAGCAGCCCCCCTCACCTCTCATGGGATCTCAGGCTGATCTCAGCCCTCAGGATGGAGGACACAGAGCTGGTACCCAATGCTGCACAGAAGAAAATCAACATCAACCTGAAGTATTATTAAGGATGGGCACCAGCCTCACTCCATCAGTACGATGCCAGTTAGTGGACATATTTACTGCAAAGTACCTCAGCACTATAAAGGCAGCCAGGGTTGAACACGTACCAGAGGGGAAGGCCCAGCCCATTGCCCATGCCCTTCCATCATGATGAGTACAGGGCCCAAAGCAGGTGGCAGCCAATCGGGGGTTGGAACCCATGAGTCTGAAACCGTGAGTCAAAACGAATCTTTCCTCCTTGTTCTCAGGTGTTTTGTCACAGCAACAAACACAATGAATGACCTGGCAAAATTGTTTAACCATATCTATTATCTACCAAACATTTACAACAACAGTTTTCATGGAACTACCATACAAACGTTAGGTAACTTGTCTAAACAGTATTTCAAAAACATGTTCAACAATCATACTGTAGAATGGGACCTACAGGCGCATCAGGAAAGAAAATTTGACATGACAAAAATTGTAAGTTCYTCTATGCCAACCAAGAGCCCAGAGAACCAGGAGTAAACACTCAGGGTTGTGCTGGAGTCTGACCCACTTTGATGTTTATTGTTGACACCTTCAAGTCTCACTACTCCCTTTCTATGGTGCCATCTGGGCAAGCTGCTGATAACCCTAAGTGTTCCCTTCTTTGGGCAGCAGCTGGGAATTCTAAAGATGGCCAGGTTCCCTCACTCCAGCACCACCCAGGACCCCCATAAGAGGAGGCAGCCACTTCTGGACAAGTGTAGCAAGTCCACCCTGCGTCCCTGGAAGGCCTCCTTATGTTGTGAACTCTGCAAACACTTCAGTGTTTGGCTTTGCCATTCCTGACAAACCAGCCCAACTGGGTGGGGTTCAGCCCTGAGTTGGGACTGGTCACAAGTGCAAACCAGCAAAAATGTTAGGGGCAAATACATGAGATTCCACTTCACATACAAGAGAAATTCCATCCTGGATGTTCATTCTGAAGTGGAAACTCATGAACGTTAACCTTTTCAGTATATCTCACAAGTACTTCAAGGACACAAAGGTATTCGTACACTTATTCCCTGAATTTTCTTATGTTTCATATTCTTGCTGTATTTCAATTTTCACTCTATGTAAATTAAGGTGCATTCCATGCAGTTTTGCTAAAAATGTATCATAAATCTCATGTAATAAAATTTAGTCTCTTTTTTATTATTACCAACAATCATGTTCCTTTCCTCATTAGCACAGAAGATAGAGGTATTTAGAAATAATACAGTGCATGTTCCATAACAGGGAGGACAGGATGTCAGTCTGAACTACATTTTGTACTTTCATTATACACAGTAAGTGTCCTAGTCAGACTACAGAGATGGGAACACAGCATTTCTCCAAGGGACTGTGCTTCTACTAAGTGTAGAAAGAAAATATATGTGAACGTGAACAATCACTTTACAAAGAAAAACATGAGGTATTTCCGCATGGGAACAAATGAAGGGGAGAACATTGGGTGTCCTGTGCACAGTGAAAAGAACACGTACATCATGTCTGTCTGATTTTGCCAGAATAAATCCTCTCAGGACAAGAAAACCKCGAATGTTTGAAAAAGAAACAGTACACTCCTTACACTTGGATGGTTGCTCTCTGGGGCACATGAYTAATTTCGGCACAAATTAAATCATTCCTCCTTGTTCTCTGGTGTTTTGTCACAGCTTCCTCAAAGGTGTCCCTTTGATGCCCCCTGGTTCTGAGGCATGAAAGTCTGTCCTATGTGCTGTGATGGTGACGGATGTTGCTCTTTAGTATGGACTCTGACCACTGCTTGAATTCATAATGCAGGGGGTGCCACACTCGCTGCATTCAAGCTCTACCTCTAGGACATCTTCTCACATGTTGTGCAAGCTGTGAACTGTGCCAGAAGAGCTTGGCACCTGCAGACATTTCCATGGTTTCTCTCCAGCGTGGATCAACTGATGTCCACTGAGACATGAGCACTGAAGACAGGCTTGGCCAAAGTCATGCTTTTGTGACTTACCTGACGTGTACAGAGGGCTGAGTGCATACTAATGATTTGCCACCTTGGTACATTTGTGAAGTTTTTTTCCAGCAGGAATCCTGATGACAGACTTTGACATTAAGGTCTGTTTATATCAAATTATGGATGAGGTTCCTCTCCATCACAGACTGACTGAAAGTTTCTAAGCTTTAAATGAGGCCTAAAGGTTCAGATATTCATTACATATAGAAGATAATTTCTCCACTAGGAAATAAAGTGGTATTACATGACTTGTATTCTGACAAAGACTGTGCTTAATTCATTTGTGGTTTTTTCCTAGGATGAGATCTTGAAAATCTGCGTGATAGGAAATGTCAGTGAACACCTTGACATGCCCTCTTGGTGTGGATCACATGATTGGCCAGGCCAGATGCACCCTACAGGTTTTGCCACATTCATCATATTCATAGGGTTTCTCTCCACCATAAATGCTTGGCATGTGATGTGCCAATGTGACTGAAGTCCCCAACACATTCATTGCATTTCTTTTCCTCTTTGGGGTATGGGAATTGAACCCAGGGACTGAAACATGCTCTACCATCATTTTCCCACTGATCTACATCCCCAGCCCTTTATTTCATTTTGTGAGCATCTCACAATTATGTCCAGGCAGAATTTGCACGTGCCATCCTCCTGATTTTTGCAAAACAGCCGAGATTACAATGTGACCCCCCAACCCTGCACACACTGATTACACGTCTAAGGCTTCTCTACACTATGGATCCTGCGGTGATGGGCTAGGGATGAGTTCACACTGAAGACCTTGCCACAGTCATTACATTTGTAAGGTTTCTCCCCAGTGTGGATTCTGCGATGACATGCAAGATGTGAATTTTGACTGAAGACCTTGCCACAGTTATTGCATTTGTAAGGTTTCTCTCCAGTATGAATTCTGCGATGACATGCAAGATGTGAATTTTGAGTGAACATCTTGCCACAGTCATTACATTTGTAAGGTTTCTCCCCAGTATGGATCCTGCGGTGATGTGCTAGGGATGAATTCAGACTGAAGACCTTGCCACAGTCATTACATTTGTAAGGTTTCTCTCCCGTATGGATTCTGCGATGGCATGTAAGATGTGATATTTGACTGAAGACTTTGCCACATTCATTGCATTTGCATGGCTTCTCTCCAGTATGGATTATCAGATGTTCTGCTAGGTATGAGTTACGGCTGAAGCCCTTGCCACACTCATTGCATTTAAAAGGTTTTTCTCCTGTGTGGATTCTCTGATGATTTGCAAGGGATGACTTCTGACTGAAAACACTGCCACACTCATTGCATTTGTAAGGTTTCTCTCCAGTGTGAATTCTGCGATGTTCTGCAAGGTGTGAAATCTGATTAAAGACCTTCCCACATTCATCACATTTGTATGGTTTCTCTCCAGTATGAATTCTTCGGTGACTTGTAAGGATTGATTTTTGATTGAAGACCTTGCCGCACTCATTGCATTTGTACGGTTTCTCCCCAGTGTGGATTATCAGATGGTGAACGAGGTACGAGTTGCGACTGAAGACCTTGCCACACTCATTACATTTGAAAGGTTTCTCTCCTGTGTGAATGGTTCGATGTTGTGCAAGGTGTGAAATTTGGTGGAAGACCTTTCCACATTCATCACATTTGTAAGGTTTCTCTCCGGTGTGGATTCTACGATGACTTGCCAGGTGTGAAATCTGATTGAAGACCTTGCCACATGTATCACACTTGTA